TGCACCCTATTCCTCACACACCACATTCTCAGCTCATTCATCGCTTCCTCTCCCTTTCTCACATTCACTTGCACTACTTTCATACTTTATTCGTGGACCATTCCGTCTTCTTCACCTGGTACACCATTTCCTTCTCGAAGATGGGGCACCCCTTTGAGTTCACCGCATGTTCAGCTGGCAACTTCGCTCTAATACAATTAGGACATCTCGTGCCTTCGCTTTTGCAATCCTTTCTCAGGTGCCCCTTTTCGCCACACTTGTGGCAAACTGCATCCCTCTTACACTCCTTGCCGCTGTGTCCATAGCCACAACACTTAAAACACATGTATACCTCCACATAGTCTTTGACAATGCACCGCCGCCAGCCTACGTACACGTTCTCTCTCTCGATCATATCTCCTCTCACTCTGCTGCTGACCCTGAGCAAGACTGTTTTCTCTCTGGCATTTCTCAATTTCATACTACGTACGACCTTCACACTCTGCATCCACTCTTCCTTTTTACACAAGCTTACGAAATTCCTTGCCCAGATTTCTTCGCATATACACTCATCCTTCTCATCCTCGTCCACTCCAACCACTCTGACTAGGGGATCTATCCCTTTAACACCTTTAACTTCTACGTTTCCTCCAACACTGCTCTTCACTAACTCCAATACCTTGCCCTCGTCCTTGCTGTTAACTTCAACGATGATTCCATTCTTTATTCCTCTAATACTCTCCACATTAAGTCCAAGATCTTTCGGGTTAACCTTTTCTTTCAGCAGCTTAGACATGCTGTCTACTGTCTCTCCTTCCTTTCTAATAGCCACTTTAACCTTTGTATCATCCTGCATGCTCCTAACTCTCTCCGCATACGTCTCAGGCAGGGTGCACTTTTTCTTCTTCTTCTCCTTACCACCCACACTCGTCCACTCTCCTCCTTCCATACTGTCTTTCACCACCTTCAGAGTCTCGTTGACCTCTTTCATTCCCTTAGCCCATTCATCTCCTTTCATCATCTTGTTCACTTCGCTAACCACTATACTCACTTCCTTCATGCTATCCTTAATTGCCTCTCCACTAACCTGTTTCACCGAATTTTCCATGTCAATCACACTACTTTTCACCTCCTTCACATCTTGGTGGATGGCCTTCGCCCTGTCGTCCACATTCTGTATCTTATCTACAGACCTCTGGCTAACGTTCAGCACCTTCGCTAATCCGTTTCCGACTATCTTGGTGTGCTCTTCACTAAACTTGATTATCCTAGCGGCTTCCTGCTTGGTTACGTCTTCGACTTTCGTTACCCCTTTATTCTGTAACTCCACCAAGTTTCTAATCTCAGCCATGAACTTTTCCTGCTTTCCGTCCCTCTCACTTTCACACTTGTCTATATACTCTTTCATTTTACCGAGCTCGACCGTCATTTTCTCTTGCACCTCCGACTTCACTGCCATAGCCTCTTGCAACGCATATCTGTTCCTTGCCATTATGGCCCTCACCTCTGTGTCCATTAACCACAGCAGTCTCTCTACCATTCTCTTATTTTCCACCATTCTTGTTCTCACATACGCAACCGCCTTCGTTGACATTTTCGCCACTTGGGACCACTTTTGGAACTCCACCTCCTTTGAAGCAATCTCGTCTCTTATCTTTTTGATCTCCTTTCTGGCTACCGTCGTTATCATACCCTGAGTCTCCATTTTCAATTCGCTCATGGGGTCTATGGGGGTCAACTTCCCAGGCCCCTCCCCGGGACTACCGGAGAAGGACCTCGATCTCTTCCTTTGGGGTTGAGGGGTGTAGAACACTTCTTCATCCCCTACCGACCTGGTCTCACTCGTTCTGATACCTCCTACCATCGCTTCAACACTCGAGATGTTCCCTGTGTCCATCGCTGACCTGTCAGACCCTTCCGTGTCACTGTCCTCCAGTAGGACCTCCTTCGGCCCCTTACCGGATCCCCCCCCTTCCTTATTCTTCTCCATTCCCTCAGAGGATACCTCACTCACACCCTTGTCCGATCAAACCTACAGACTGTACCCGTGTACGGAGAGGAACTCGCCGCACATGGATCCAGACGCAATCAGACACTGGCCACCGCCGTTCAAAAAGTAACGGCCGATGGCAACACTAACACTCTCGCACACAGACTACACACACACGCACACCACTAGCCAATCAAAATTCACACAATTAAAAATAAACTTGGCAACCTCGCAAAAATGTGGCAACAAGACAGCCTTGCCGC